TAGGGGTGGGGGGCTGCGGCACCGAAACGTTGGGGATTTGGGGACCGAGGAGGCGCAAGGCGGCCGTGGGCGCAGTCTGTGGCGAGGGCAGCGTGGGGTTTGCGAGGAGGCCCACGCAGGCGTTTGGTGTTGGCACCGCCTGGGGCAGGGAGGCGAAGGCCCCCCACGAATCACCCCCCCCAGCAGCGCTGCTCTTTCACGGTGCGAAGGGGACACGTTTGGCAGCTCGCACTGGGCAGCCTGAGCGCTGCTCGGCTCTCGGGAAGGAGACTCGTCTCGAAACGCAGGCTTGAGCTTGGGTGGAGAGAAACGTGGGTGGGCGGCTTTGGAAAGACCCCCCCCTTCCCTTCCCTTCCCCATCCTTGCTCTGGACCTGGTTTTTGAGCCCTAGTTTGGAAATGAGCGGGGCAGAGGTGGCAGAGCGGTTGAGAGCGCTTCCCTGCAAGCTGCAAGGAGACAGCGTGCTCCCGTGCTTAGTGCCTGGACGCATGCCTTCCCCCTCTCCCCCGCTCAGCTTTCCTCCCGGTGTCTGGTTGGCCTGGACATGCTTTGGGAGCAGGGTGCTTCTTGCTCGGCGTAAGCGCAGCCGTCCCCAAAGCGGCCGTGCCACCCGGTTTGCTCGCTGCCCCCTCGCTGGCCTGGCCTGCTGGGAGTTTCCCACACGGCAATCTGAAGGTCAAGGAGAGGAAGTGGCACTCGCTGTTAAATAAAGTTCACTCGCTCCGGCGGCCAGCCCACGAAGCGCTTCCCTTGCATTGCTTTGCTCGGGAGCCGTCCGCCGTGCTGCCGCGGGGCGGTACGCAGCGGCTGTGGCTGCGACGCGTCGTTTTGCTGTGGTCCTGGCTTCCAGCAGCTCTGGTGTTGGCCACAGCTAGCAGTAACCCTTCAGCAGCATGCAGCGTTTATTTCCTTTTCCGTGATCTGCTCTTGGCTCAGTGGTGTGTGACCTGTGGTTCCCTGGTGCTTGCTTCAGAGAAACGTATTTCTCTGAAACCTAAAAGTGGACTGGCTATTGGTGTGGCCAGAGTAAGCTGAACACTCTCTGCTCACGCAGCTGCTGCCGCAAAACTCGGAGCTCTCCACTGTTTCTCAGGAAGGAAGGTGCCTCGAAAGGTCAAAGTTTCAGAAGCTTTTTGCTAGCTTGCTGCTCTCTCACTGCCCTCACCTCCCTCCTCGTTTCAAGGGGCAAACCACACAGCACAGGACCGGGGGTAGATCCAGACCCAGCCAGGAAGGGCTGGAAGTTGTTGGGGTGGATCCAGACCCAGGCAGGAAGGGCTGGAAGTTGTTGTCACCTTCTCATTGCTGTTTGCCTTGTGCTGCTTTCCTAGTGAACAGACGTCCGGCTGAGGAGTGTGCGTTTGTATGCGTACATCTGTAAGCTTGCAGCTATTTCTCAGCAAAGCTAGCAGCATATGCTGAGGCATGTCTCCTTTCTTTAGGGGAGAGCAGCTTGGACAGACATGGAGTGTTCAGCAGAGCAGACGTTCTTAGGTTATAACTAGCGCTGGGATCTCTTCAGCTGGACAGAGCTGGCGTTTCCTTGCAGGACAAAGCCAAGTGCTGCTAGGCTTGCTGCTGAATCAGAGCGCAGGCTGCTACCGTGTTGAGTCAGTGGCACTGCTGCCAGCACCACGTGCAGTGCTGCTTTGTGATCCCTTTCTCAAATATTGCTCTAACCTGCCCAGAGCTTCGCTTGCGGATGCACACTGAAGATTCGTAGTAAAGCCATAGCAGGTTCACGTAATTTCCAACGACACAGGGTCAATTTGTATGCTGCTTGTGCCACAGCAGCTTTTTTGAAGTTGACTATTTAATTGTCTAGCTAATGATCTATTCATTTAATGAAATACCTGCTTGATCTTAACATTAAAAACTTGATGGATATTTAACACTGCCGTTAATAGCTCTGTAAAATTACTTATTTAATTAAAATACTAAAATTATTCCAATTTATTTTAAAATTATCAAGTATTTTGTGCCCTTTCTGGGGGGAAGGATATCTGCACCAGAAAGGATATCCTGGCTCCTTCTGCAGGGCTAGCCATTGCGATTTTTTTTTCCTCCTGTGGTGAGGAAAAGAAAAATCCCTCCTGCCATGTCTGTGCATTTGTCAGCTAATCTTGTCCCAGTGGCTTTTGGTGGTTGGCAGGGCCTCTGGAAAGGCCACCCCCAGGAGTGCCGTGGTTGCGTATGGGGCAGGCTGGCCTGCTGCTGGTGCAAATGGGCCAACGCTTCTTCTTCAAGAAGATATTTCCATCCTCCTGCTCTTCAGAGGACAGAGCAGGAGTCTGTGGATGTGGTGGCCATCTGAGGTGCTTCCTGGGAAGTAGGTCCCCCAATCCAGCAAGCACCTCTGCCTGAGGTGCTTCCAGCCTGCCCCACCATGAGACAGTTGCGGGACAGCGGACCCTGCCCACCTCTGCCGGCACTGAGCACCCTCACCCAGTGACGCACGTCCCTGCGGGACCGCAAGCGCTGGGGCTGCCGTGGCTGGGGCTGGGCGCTGGCTGCGTAGCCTCCTGTGGGCACCTACCCCACTGAGCGCCCAGAGCCGGCGGCAGTGTTTCCAGATTGCACTAGGCCTGAGCTGAGCTCCTCTGTCCTGCTTGGATGGGGCTGTCCAGGCCCTGCGCTGAGGTACACCAGGATTTGGTTTAACGCTTCGTGGGGCTCCAGAGAGGCTCTCTCCCTGCAGATGATGGGGCCAACGAGAAGTGACAAGCTCAGATCATTTGGCAACAGGTTTCTGGCCTGCTCCTGGTGTGGAGGCTCGCATACTTTCTTCCTAGGCTGGATCAGTCTTTCCTACTGAGGAACCCAGTACGAGCCACACCAGCGGGTCGGCTGCGGGCACACAGACGCTCGCTCTCAGCTGAACCCTTCCCAGGTAACGTCTACGTGTTTGGGGTGTGCAGGCAGCCAACTCAGGGCTCTGCGTGACCTACAAACAGTGGTGTTGCTGTGCGACCAAGCACAGTGAGCTGCTTTACAGCACTATGGGCTCTTCTGTGATTGATGTCTGAGATGCTGCATCCTATTTACCTATCTCCCTTGAGGAACAGGGAGGGCAGTGTACCAGTGTTTTAGAAACCTTGGACGGGCTCTGTATATGCACAGTACCTGAAGTGGCAGGAAGGGCTGCTTTATAGAAAGGACTGTAGAGATAGGGTCATTGCTTCTTCTACGGCAAAAGCGCAGTGGAAGCGAAGAAAGGAAAGAGGATGAGCAGAGAGGGGAGAGCCAAGCAATGAACAGGGCTGGGGGGTATCTGTCACCGAGAAACACCCGCTGGGCCGCCAAGGTGACGGGAAGGGTTGCCGTGCTTTGGGGGCCGCTCCTTGGACATGGTGGTGGCTGCCTGTTGCCACCAGGGGAGCAGTGTGCTGGGGAGCAGCCCTGCCGGCTCCTGCGGCCGCTCTGCTTTCCCCAACAGAGAATCCCCCTTCAGAGAGGCAGGAATATCCCCTGGGCAGCTGCGACCGGCTGCGCTCAGCCACACCAAGGGAGGCTTTTCACTCCCCATCAGCCATGCGTGCTGCAATCCTTGGTCCCAACCTGCTGTTGCTTATTGTGTCCCTGGGGCCTGATGTTTCGCCAGCCCGTGACCACTCGCGATGGGCGCTGGTGCACGGCGAAGGCCTGAAGGGCACCCGTGATGCAAAAGCAGAGGGGGCAGTTGGTTGCTTGTTTCCAGCTCGTCTCCTGGCATGTGCCGAGGTAGCAGAGCTGCGGAGACAAGAAATGGAGCCACAATGTGGACTGGCTCTTGGCAGGCTAACTCAGATACACAGCTTGGCTCAAAAAACTCACAGTGTATTTTT